ATTTTGTTATTGTTGTTTGCTTGAAATGTCGGGGACAAATTTATCAGAAATATGTGAACATAAACGCCAATTTGTTCGGTCTCGCATAAAAGTTTTGCTTGGTCAAAAGCTTGAAGATCCTGTCCTGGCTGTGTAGACTGACCAGACAAAAACCTCCAGGGACCTGAGTTCTGGGCTGGTTGTCTGAGTGAGTTGGGACATTTGTGGACAAGTTTCTATCGTGCTTCCGTGAAGAGAGTAGGCTATGTGTTTATGACAACACACCATATGTAAATTATGTGTGTGTGTGTTGTGAAAGTGTGTCATGATTTCCGCGGTGTGTTATTGTGTGTGAATGTGTGTGTCATGATTTCTGTGGTGTGTTATTGTGTTGGAATGTGTCATGATTTCGGCGGTGTGTTGTTGTGAATGTGTGTGTCATGATTTCTGCAGTGTGTTGTGTGTGAATGCGTGTGTCATGATTTCTACAGTATGTTGTTTGTGAATGTGTGTCATGATAGCTGCAGTGTGTTGTGTAAATGTGTCTCATGATTTTCTGTGTGTGTTGTGTAAATGTGTATCATGATAGCTGCAGTGTGTTGTGTAAATGTGTGTCATGATAGCTGCAGTGTGTTGTGTAAATGTGTCTCATGATTTTCTGTGTGTGTTGTATAAATGTGTGTCATGATTTGGGCGGTGTGTTGTGTAAATATTTAGCTGACAGCTTGCCTCCAGCTGGCCCCACTGTACATGATGCAAGGTTTGGTCACTAAAGTCTTTTCTAATGCTCAATTGTTTCATCAGGACCCTCGTGTCTGCTTCTCTTCTTTGTCAACACAAACTGTGCACCAACGACGTGTCTGTGGTGTCGCAGTGAGGCGCTTGGCTGTCGCATGCTGGAGACCTCAGTTTGATTCCCGAGTGGGGAGAGATTCTTATGGAGGATCGCGATTTTTTCTGTTGGGATGCTGTGTCTATCGCTCTCGGCCCGTGTTGGCCCTCACGGGCAGGGTCAGAAGTCCGCCTTCTAAATGATCTAAATTGTGTCGACAGAGATGTAAAAAATAAAAACTAATTTTTTTTTTAGGGGAAAGGGGGGGGGGGGGTTGACTAGTAGGCTTGGAGAATGTAACATCAGGATCAAGACAAGGAAAACTGTTCCAATTGTTCTGTTGGGACAGGGAAAGAGTGTAGTAGTGGTAGTAGTAGTAGTGGTAGTAGTAGTAGTAGTGGTAGTAGTAGTAGTAGTAGTAGTAGTAGTAGTAGTGGTGGTGGTAGTAGTAGTAGTAGTAGTAGTAGTGGTAGTAGTAGTATAGTAGTAGTAGTGGTGGTAGTTGTAGTAGTAGTAGTCGTCGTAGTAGTATTAGTAGTAGTAGTCGTAGTAGTATTAGTAGTAGTAGTAGTAATAGTAGTCGTAGTAGTAGTAGTAGTAGAAGAAGTAGTAAAAGTAGTAGCAGTAGGGACGGTACAGGGTGAAGTGTAGCAGTAGAGAAGGAAGGGAACAGGGTGTAGTGCTGGTATGTCCCGGTGCTGTCAGTGCTGGTATGTCCTGGTGCTGTCAGTGCTGTCAGTGGGACCCGACTCATTGTCTGCCCTGTGGAGGTAGATCGACTCTGATCGAGAGAACCGGATTATTCTTTTCTTGTTGCACACTTTTTTCTTCACAAAAAAAAGGAAATGTGTAAATGTAGCATAGATCTAGCAGCCCTGCACTCGAGAAAAATTGTAATATTAAATAATGCGCCATGAGGAGGGAAATTGGAAAATGGTAACATTCTCTTCTGTCCAAAGTCTGACTACAGTCTAGCTTTCAGGTCTGTCTCAGGTGTAGAAGGAAACAAATCACAGTGATCATATGTCCTTATGCAGTTACGAGTGCTGTAAAAGCTCTACTGAAAAGGGGAAAAAAAGTGATCAGTTGAAAACACTTTCCTTTTTTTTTTTTTAAAGTCTATTTTAGCAATAGCCTACCACAAAGTCTCCGGGCCAAAAGAGTAGGTAGACATAGACCACAGCTACCTGTAGACTAAAATGATGAACTTTGATCAAGTCTCTGACACCGCGATCAGCCTACAGGTGACTAGTTTGTCATCCAGTCTCTGACACCGCGATCAGCCTGCAGGTGACCAGTTTGTCATCCAGTCTCTGACACCGCGATCAGCCTACAGGTGACCAGTTTGTCATCCAGTCTCTGACACCACGATCAGCCTACAGGTGACCAGTTTGACAGTTTTCCCGAGAAAGCTTTGGAAGAAGTTGAAGAACATTTTGTTTGGTAGAGACACGACTTCCTGAATGTCTACCGCGTTGTTAATCGTAACTTTGATTGTGCCGTATGTGTCCACTGTGGTGGTCACGTCGTCGTGTCCACTTCTGCCTGTGTTGCCAGATTGTCTTGTTTTCATCTCTGCTCTGTGCCGCTCCTCTTCACGACTCATAAAGCTTTTGTAACATTTTTTTAATTTTTTTTTTTTTTTGGACTGACAGGGAAGCAAGTGGTTTCACAAATTTACATATATGCAAATTGTCATAAACTCTGCTTTTGTTCTGTCCCTTCTCGGTTTGTAATGTTGTTTTTTTACCGAATGATTTGTTTGTTTGTTTGTTTGTTTGGTGTACAGCTTTGTATATCTTCTCCAGCTAGTGGGGACATTGCATGTGTACAATCGTACAGGTTTTGAAACCACAAAAATATTAAAAAATGTGTGGAAAAAAATGCTTGAAAACCAACCAGTCAATAAAATGCAAGTAAAACAAAAAGTGTTTGTTGTTTGTCTACAATTCTCCATCTTCTGTTGGTGTGTACAGCTTCTGTTGGTGTGTACAGCTACTCACTACGCACCTCTAGTAACACATCTACTCTAATCTTCGGCTCTTATATTATAACCTTATTGTGTTGCCAAGGATGATTCCCGACTGGAAGGGGGGGGGTTGGATTATTATTTGTTGAAATCTGTAGATGTAGGTCGTTCTGCTGGGATGTTGTAACCTCCCTAGTAGGTCGTTCTGCTGGGATGTTGTAACCTCCCTAGTAGGTCGTTCTGCTGGGATGTTGTAACCTCCCTAGTAGGTCGTTCT